CGCAGGCTAAACATTGCATTCACAAAGCATGAAAAAAGTACAATCTTTCATTATGTTAGAGTTTGCACTGTATATATAGACTAAACTTTAAGACTACAAAAGTTTGCAGATTTTCAAATTACTCTCGGCGCTTCTCGAATTTTATCCCAAACATCACTGCGATTTTGACATACATGATTTAAGATGTCGTTCTTATTGTCTACTCTTTTGTTAAGGTTCTTCGCAATGCTTCCACTTTAAGCGAACACGGACTAAAGGACCCTAAGGCACACACTACAGCAGGTACGTTTTTTAATACTGCTGACCCATCATGCATCCTTCTCGTACCCAGATCCTTCAACAGTTCCCCAACAGGAAAGAAAAGGCTCTGTTTGGACACGAATGATTCTTTGATTTGATTGGTTCAAAAATTCTCATGCGTCTTCAGKATGTATAYATCGTACGTTCTCAGATTCCTGGCCTTCCGGTATCTTCTTCAACCAAACAAAATAAAAATATTTTACTTCAATACTTAAAATGCCTTGCTTGGGTTTCTTGTGTTTTAAACTGATTTAACTCTTCTTTGGCAGTTCATAAAATAAAGTACAATCTTGGTAGAATTCTAGCAGATAAAGGAAACCTGAAGGACGCATTTGAGGTCTATCACGATGCAGTACGGACGCTTCCTTCACACGTGGAACCTCACAGCTTATACAACATGGTTGGTAAGTTTTGCACTTCTTGAACTCATGCGCTGGAGTTGAAAGACAAATTTGTTGCGTACGTAGAGTAAGTAATATACTTTGGCAGTAAGCTCCAAACTTGACATGCATGTACAAGTCCTGTTTTTTGTTTGTTTGTTTTTTCTTTTTTTTTCTTTTTTTTTTTCGTTTGGGGGGGAGGGGGTGCTGATGGGTGCATGATGCCTTAATTTGCCATTTTGGCTATATGTTCTTCCCTTTTTTCAATTTTTTTTTTTTTTTTGATTTTTGGAGTCCCTATTACAGAGAAATCCCGCAAATACAGTCACTCCGTTATAAAAGCCTGGGTCTCATCCGGACTCGGCACCTTAACCGCGCGTTCGGTTCATCCAGCACCGCCAGTTCTTAACCGTAGTTTGTCCGGATGTGACGCAGACTACGTTATAACAGCCAGATTTTAATGTCCCGGAGAAAGAAGCACTCATACTTTCTTGCTGGTTAAAACAACCAGCCCGTCCATACGACCACTTTTACGGTTTCCCTTTGGTGGCCGAATTAACGGACATCCATCTGTATTTTTCGTTTCTGTTGTTGTTTCATTATTATTTTTGAATGTGATTGTTATGTTCAACAGGCGAGGCGTATAACAAGGCTGGCATGCCAGAACAAGCCGAAAAATGGTATAAAATGTCAATACAAAGTAAACCCGATCACGTGCCTGCGCATTTAACTCTTGCTAAGCATTATGGTAAAACGGTGAGTTTATTACAGTACAACATGTGGTACATGAGAACGAGGTTTGAAGGACATTGCCTTATTGCATGCAAATATGAAAATGCACACATTTTTTTGAGTTTTTCGTGTTCAAAATTAAATTGACCCCTGGACCTTTTACTTCAATGCTTGACTTTCAATGCATTGTGGGCTCGGTTTCTAGAGAAAACAAAAGAAATCCGCCATGTTCTGTTCCCAAACATATCCTATAATGCATTGCGTATACGGTACATGACGTAAAAGCTTCATGGAACGATTGATTGCATGGCAAGAGAAAGCATGGCAAAAGCGATTTATCCGCTAAGTTTGAACGAATTAAAAAATCTCTATAAATAGAGGATATTACATGGACGCTCACGGAGATACGGGTTTTATCTTCGAGTGTACAACAGATCTTATTAGAGATTTTTTCAACACGAGAAGATAAATTTCGCATCTCCAAGAGAACATGTGATATTCTGTTTATCTTAAAGTTATATAATAAAGCAAAATTATGTTTTATGATCATTTTATTCACCTCCAATAAATACTATTATTAAATAATGTAGTCTTATTGATGGTTTTCAACCATTCCCAGGAGAGAAAGTTGAACAAAAGACGTCAGCCATTGCTGGTGGACCTGACAAAAGAAAACCACCACCGTGACTGGTGGACCTTTTTGTTTTGCTCACTCTCATGGGAATGGTTGAAAACCATCAATTATGATTCTGTTTTATGTATTATTTATGTACTTGATTTTTCTCTGTGTATTTTTTTTTGTACTATTTGTTTGATTGTTTAATAATAAATGATATTAAAAAAAATAATGTGGTATTTCATGTGCCATTGTAGATTTTAAAAAAAGTCGAATATCTGCATCATCAATAATTTCAAGACATTTTTTTCTTCAGAATCGTGTACAAGAAGCATTAAATCTATTCAGAAGAGCACAACAACTCCAACCAAACGACTATTCTGTATGGACGCACTTTGGCCAGTTTCTGTACGAGCGAAGGAATATCGCCAGTGCTGCAGAAATGTTCGTTAAGGCTAGTTATCTTAAACGCGATGATTTTGATATAGTTTTTACAGCTGCGAATTACCTAAGGTTAGTATGAAGTAATGATGATAATAGATTATTACTAGCTTATTTATACATTATTTTTATATATTATTTGGTATTTAACGCGTTCTTGGATTGGTCGAGAACCGTGTGTCCTTAGAGTACACAGCTGGGCAAGGATGACGTCATTTATTCTTACGTGMGCTGTGATTGGTCAGAAYCATTGCKCGCSCATTATTGTGTTCATAAAATTTAMCSCTCTTAAAAATAGAAGAAAATGTTATATAAAACAAMCAGATTCCATTTTTCGGTGCGTCTTTACTCTAATAGATACACAGGCTACTGGAACATTTGGTGGGTACAACAGCTGCGACACTCGAACTCTTGTATCTATTATTGTACAAATGTATTTAGCGTTAATTAACAAATACATAATTTTTCCATACGTTTGTAAGATACAAGAGCTCGAGTGGCGTAACCTTTCCATCTTTAATCTTTTCAATTCTTAGATAATTTGAATGTTTGAGATAAAAGGGCTCGCGCTGTAATAGTCGAGTTTCGCGATCTCTTTTACGCTGTGCTAGCCTCAATTATGTGCTAAAATATTCAGAAATGTAGATAAAACTCGTGAGATCTAACCCAGCGTAAAAGGGTTTATTGGCTGATGACCCAGTTGCTTATGTTGAATTCAGACCTGGTTACTATATTGTGCTATTTTCCCCGGAATCAATTCGTGTTCTCTGACCGATCTATAAAGTTGTTTTCTAAAAGGTGTCAAGTGCACTTTAAGCATGCTGAAACTACAGCTCATTTATCAATTTCTATTTTTAGGGAGGCTGGGCAAAAAGAAAAGTCGAGAGAATATTTCACAAAAGCTGCGAGGATCGATCCACAGGTAAAGATCCTACTGAGGGTTTGCGAAAAAAATAAAATAAAAAAAACAACTTGTGAGAGCTTATTCGTTATATACTATTAGAGCAAACGCAGGAAAACCATGAAATAAAATCAAACTAAATACTAACAAATAGCGGCTAATTTAGAGACAAAATGTCGTCAGTATCAATGAACCAGAACGCAATAAAGATGAATGGAAAATGGTCCCATGTGGATTCATCTTCATTGTGTTCGGGTTCATTGATACTGACAAATTGTCTCTAAATAGCCGCTTTTAGTTAGTATTTAGTTTGATTTTATTTCATGGTTTTCCTGCGATTGCTCTACAGTGCCATTTGTTTGTACATGCCTGTTATTTGTTTTAATGTAACGGATATAAAATATATAATGCATTTGACAAAATCCACTCGACCTGGACGATTTTCCATATCTCTGATAATTTAAGCCTCAACAGCGGTGWCGTGTRTCACGGCTCCGAGAGGAGACTGCGGTGCGTGTTGTTGTTCCCTTTTAGTCATTGTCATAAAGCTATTTATTTTCATCTAGAACCCCATTGCGCACATGAACCTGGGCGCTATTCATCATGTCCTCGGAGACTACGAGCAGGGCGAGAAGAGTTACCTAATGGCMTTAAAGCTAAAACCAGGCGACGAAATGACCCAAGAAAATCTAAAAAAACTCAGGGCATTGAAAACAAAGAAAAGTAAAAAGACTAAGTAGTCACTGGTGTTTGTGCTGAGGTTGCTGGTGTATACAAAGAGTATCATTGTGTCTATATCTGCTAACCTACAGTGAAGATGTCCCCATGCTGAGGAAGTTAGCGGGGTCCCTGTGGCAGGACGTTTCTGTGTGTCTGAGAGAGGCTGGGGACAAGAATTTTCAATAGAGGATGTTATTTTTGGAGTTGGCAGATTAGAAGCTCGACAAGAAGTTGCGAAGCAAGATACCGATCAATTGTATGACAATTCGCGTATCTGTTAAATACCTAAGTGCGAAAACGTTGTCCTGAGATCTAGCCGCGATTTATAAACAAAGGAACAAAAGATAACCAGTTAAGTTGAAGTCAGTTCTCAAATCCTTTTTCTTCTAAAACGTTTTTTTCAGTTAGGTCCATTTATAGCAACTGGTAAATTTAATTTATTGTGACATGGAATGAAAAGACGAAACGTTTGGCGTGACATAACGTGACAATTTTTTAATTTAAACCTAGGATGTGTTAAACACGAGCCAGGAAATATTTTACTTTATTTGTATTTGCTCAAAGCAGAATTAGAATATTTCAACAAGTGCCTAAATATTTGTGTTTATACCAATACTTTTTGTGTGCGATACGAGTACTAAGATGAGGGGGGAAGATAGCACGCTCCTCTTGCCATATAAAAAGCATGTTTTTATATCATGTGTAGCAGCTTGGCCAAAGCTAGGGGTTATCATGTGCGCGACGGCGTGTGAATGGTCTTGGGGCCGGTAATTCCCTCCCATGGGGGGTGGGGGGAGGGGGGTACATACGTGTACAGAGAAGACACAAGAGCGGATCCAGGGAGGGGCAAAGGGGGGCTGTAGCTCCTTTGAGGATAAAGGGTAAAGTAACAAATATAAAATAACAAATATAGCCCATTTAGCCCCCTTAAAACCAATAAGTCCCCCTTAAAATTTCAACTGGATCCGCCCTTGAGACATGAGTACAGGTTAGACAAGGGAGATGAGAAACATAGACGACAATGCACAGAAAAAAGGCGGGACAAGCTAAGGCAGACGGGAATATATAAAAGCAAGGCAGGGCATCGAAGAAGGAAAGACAGGGCCGATTGTAGACGAGTTTACACGACTAGGGTAAATCACAAACGAAAAGAATACATTCCGGGCGGATACTTTCGGGGAGGTCAATGAAGACGGGAATACAAGGAACGGCAAGAATAAAACACTGAAATACAGAAAGAACAGAAAAGAAGGAGAAATGGGGAGACGGAAAACTGATCGGACTGGGAAAACATGGAAGACAAAAGCAGTCTGGGGGACGTTAAGATAGAGGAACAGGAAAGACATAGAAAACAGGGATAAAAAAACTACTGCCTCAGGTGATAATTTGGTTTTATCGACACTTGCTACCCGTTGTTACTTTTCAGCGTTGACAATTTCCATCCACCAATGCAAAGATCCCTTAAAAATAGATCTTTACGCACGCAACATTTATAAACATTGATTAATCCGCACGATCAATCAATCACAAGAGTTTTGGATTTGACTGCTGAAAAACGGTGTTTTGATATTATTGAGTGTTGATAACCCTTACAAATTAGGGTCAGGCGGTTGATAAGACAAGATCAGCCCCCTCACGTATCAGGGAAGTGTATCAATGCGTGAATACAATATTTTGTATATGTTATATATATATTTTTGAAGGGTGCGTTCGCCCATAAGCAGATAAGTTACCCTTTTGGTTGTCTGTCGAGACTATTTGATTACGAATTGCTTAGTTTTGACTTCAATWTGATCTGTTTCAGTATATTGATTCTTACTCTTCAAGTGCCTTTTGCACTTAAAATAGCTATAACAAGTTGGGTTTGACTCTGCAGATTGTATGATAAGTCGCTTATTGTTTTGTATTTTTCGTTTTGTTTCGGTTTTCTTTGTTTAGTGTTTAGGAGAAGGGGAGGGCGGGGAGAGTGGTTGGCTTTGCTTTGCTTTTTTTTTCGGTGCATTTTTTATCGTGTTCTTTTCTATTTTTCCAATCAAATGACATCTTAATCATGTTGATTTTAATATTTGTTTTTATGGAAAATCCTGCGGAGCATTTTATAAACTAGCCACACCCATTTTCCATTGCTTGTTCTAAATTTCGAGGACAGACACGGAAACTGAGGTTTTCAATTATATTCCAAGCATCTATCGCGTCCATAGTCTGATGAATAAACACTCCGCTTAGCTATTTCGAACCTATACTTCATTTTAGAATTCTAAGCGACCATCAACCGCTGTCTTATTTGACAGCAGATTTTCTTACGCAAGGAACTTACCAAAGACAAAGAAAGCAACAGAAAATGTTTTACGTACAATAGCGCTGCATTCAGTCCCCGAGTTGATGATATATAACCTTGTATTCCCAGAAGACTCATACCTTAGGTCTCATGGGAATACAGGGTTAGTCTCAACTCGGGGAAAATGCAAATTTTTAAAATTTTAAAAACGAAATTTTTTCGTGCTCCCTTTTGTGTTTGGTCAGGTCTTTGCGCACGAGGATCTGTAGTCAAGTAAAGCAGCGGTTTTTCGCTATCAATTCGAAACTGGAGTATTCAAGATTGCATGCGAAGAAGCACCGATCCCCCTTTCATCGTTCCTGTACCGAACACCCTTTAAGGCACGCATCGGCTACAGTTACAATGCCGTATCTATTTTTAACCATGGTTATTAGCTAAGATTGACTAACACTATTACTGCAGAGATAGTAATCGTCCTTGTGTCAAAGAACATTAACAAGGTCAGTGGTGAAATAKACTCTGTGTGTTCGAGAATAGATGATCTGTTCGGCACGCCATTGGAATCTTGTACTCACGAGAGATACAGCACGAAGGAGACCTTTATTGGTTTATAAATCTACCCGTTGCTTGTCATCTATTGTAAGTCGCATAATTGGCAGCGCTCTAGTTCCTGTTAGAAGGTCAGTGAAATAGAGTTCAATTCGTTTAGGATGGAACTCGTTGATTGTTAAAAATAAATAAACATGCACTAATAGCAAAGCAAAAATAAACAAATCAACCGAAAATTTGAAGAAATTGAAGCGCGTTTTGGTGTCGTTTGTCTCTCCGGGCGTGCTTGTAAAACAAACAAAATYTTGCCGAGTGACTATGGGCCGGTAGGCCAGGGTCAACTGATTACAAACTAATGATTCGTCAAACAAAAACCTGTTTAAACGTTATTTTTGCAATTCAGGCTTTGCGGGAGCTTTTATAAAGGCAAAATATTTAGTAAATTGTTACCTGGCATGTTGAAAACTATACAAACGTACTCAATATAACGGGTAGAAATTTAAGAAAATTCAAAGGTATTCAAAGTTGTAACTTAGTTGTAATTTAGTGCAAGAGCAGTACGATCAATTCTTTCCTTTATAGTGGTTTTTGCACGTATACTTAAAATAGTGAATGAAAAGCTTGAATCTTTGGTTTAAAAAAATAGGCTCTACTATTATTAACGCAGTCCTCACATCGAAAMATTTCATTAATGATTTTCCAAAATGGCCGACATTCACTTGCACTTCTTGAAACAGTATTTTTCTATTTTGTTTCTTTCTTCTCCTAGTTCAATTCAAGGCAATATATAAGAACAATAAAATACATGGTTTACATCCGATGGAAGCTCTATAATATCCAGGTTTTACAATTGAATGAGATATGATTTTATTTTATTGAAAACTCAGTACAAATATGTTTGGTATAAGTAAGTGATTGGAAGAAGGAGGGAAGAAAGCTCTGCGTATTGTCACGTTAAGTTTTTACACGTGCTTTATAACCATACAGTTGAAGTAGAGTGCAAATACTGGAAGAGYGAAAACTGTCAAATAGAGCCGGCTAATAGCGCATTATGTATATATATTGTAGATTAGATAATAGAAAACAAAGGAATTCGCATAATTCAGTACAATTTATGCTGTACTATTCAATTACTCTTTTGTAGAGTGATCGCACTTTTAAAAACCGTGCAACTGTACAAACTAAATAGTGCTATTTAGTTATATTTAGCAAAATGGGCATGTGGTACGCAAATTAAATTGAATTGATACAAATGAAGSCCCGTCTTGCTTCAGGTCCACTTTTAGTACAAATTAGTATACTACCTATTAGATTTTGTACAGTTGCACGGTCTAAGTTCGATCACTCTACCTACAATCTATATTATTTAGTATAGACTAATACAGAGTTGATTTTTCTTAAGTTAAAAATAGTTACATTAACAACAGCTGCAATTCTCCACGCAAATGGTCAATTTATAATGGTTAATACTATATAGTCCCTTCTAGACATAGTGAAGCAATTTCGATTCTTAAAAATTCAAAGTTCTATTTCATTAGATAGGGAATCTCCGCCCCACACCAAGCTAATTAAAAAAGAAAGCTATCTTAGAACGATCTTTGCAAATAATGACCTTGATAACGTGTGGTCTATTATTGACGAGGCACGTCTGATGTAGTTGATTTGACAGCTGACTTGTAGTACATAGGTAGCTTGCGTCAACTCGATGCAATCATAATTTGACCTTCTCCGAGATATATACACTTTATCTTGTAATACCAAATTCGAAGGTAAGGGCTTAGAATACGTTTTAAGTCATACTTAGAAACGTTTTCATTGTGTACTAGATATATTTTCGAGAGTTTTTTTGAAGTAATTCGGTTTTCTCTTTCACTTTCTTTTATATTTTTATTCCATTCGTTTGCTTTAGGCTGATGACCATTTATGTCGATACATAATATATAATCATTTTTAATCATTTTTTTTAAATGAATAAGTTAAAACTATGAGCTTTTTTCTMTCCGTATTCATAGAGTGCAAACACTTCCCTTGAACACTGAATCCATGAAAAATTAAAGAAATGGAATAGTACCAAATTGTATAATGAATTATGCGAATTCCTTTGTTTTCTATTGTCTCATATCTGCACTATAATATTGCGCAATGTAGAACTATTTGGTTGGTAAAAATTCAGTCGTTTTTTTAATGTTTCCACTTTATATAGGCTAGGTGTGGATATACAATCTTGATTGATATGCTATCTTCTTCGATAGACTRAACAAGGCGTTCAATGATGCTGAAACCTCGGTATTTTTAAATTCGCAGTGATTTCCTACTAGATTCCGAGTTTTAAATTAGTATGAATGGTATGTAGTGTATATTTATATAGTATGTAGGAGGTTATCATACCGCAAAACCGCACGTAAAAGTGCATTTAAATTGTAAACCGAGCTRCAAAGTCGGCCAAATATGCAACCGGGCAATGTCTGGACAACCGTAAAAAAATACAAAAAACATAAAACAAAACAAAACAAAGCAAACAAAACAAAACAAAAAAAGGAAAAAAACAAAAACAAAATGAACAAAAAAGAAAGAAAAAGTGAAAAATCTAAAAACTGTAGAGATCTTCAAACCGGAAACCTGCTAAAAATGTCCCCATTACACCTGTATGTTGCGCAGTCACTTTTTAAGTCTTCTAGATAAACAACTCGACTTACAAGATTTTCAAAAAATTAACGAAATTTCAGATACCGCAAGGCATAAAAAGGGAAGTTTTTTTCTGCATCTTGAA